GGCTGCTGCTGCTGCTGCTGTAGCAGCTGCTGCAGTTTTAGCAGCTGCTGCTGCTTCTGCAGCTACTATAGCTGCTTCAGCAGGTGCTATAGCTGCACCTGTTGCTGCTGTTGCAGCTGCTGCTGTAGCAGCTGCAGCAGCAGCAGCCTGCTGCTGCAGAGATTATATTGAGGGATATGCGTAGGTTTTGCTTGGCTTTTATTTTATTTCTTTGTTTTTATTATGTGCTGTACGTACACCTGAATAAAAAACTTTAAAGCGAAGGCAGCAACGCAAAGTTTTTTATATTTTGTAGATATCTTTCTGTTACAACTGACTATTATTATTTTATTTATATATTATATATTTTATATATTTTATATATTTTATATTTTATATTATTGTGTATGCATATACATAATATATATAATGTATTATTATACATTATATCGAATATATAATATATAATATATTATATATTTTATATATATTATCTATATTATATATAATGTATTATTATGTATTATATCTAATATATAATATATTATGTATATTATATATCATATATATATTATATATAATATATATTGTATATTACATATAATATATTATATATATTATAATTTGCAGCAGATTTTATTATTAAATATTCAGTAGCCTAGAGAGCAGCAGCTAAAAACAGCTTTCTTGCTGCTGTCTGTACAGTTAGAAGCAGCAAGATTGAAGTAAAAACCCTAAGAAATTAATAAAGAAGAGCAACAAATAAATTAAAAAAATAAAGATTCAGGTGTATGTACACCTAAGGACATCAGAAATAATATTTTTCTGCTATTGTTGCAGCAGCCAGATTGCTTAGGCTTTCTTCTTTATAATTGCGTTTTGCTTTAATAATAGAGTTTATAATATATTTAATATATTATATATATGCATGTATATACATAAATATGTATATATATATGCATATATATCATATACCTATATATAATATATATATATATATTTATAATATGTATATATATTATATATTATATATAGAGGAGGCAGTTTTCTTAGTAGTTTTTCTTTGCTTTTACTGTCTTTACTTTGATTTGAGTATATATTGAATATAAAAAGAGTAATAAATAATAAAATAATTATAAACAAAAGACAGACAAACAAAAGCAAAAAAAATAGTTAAGCATAAGGAGACAGTCCCCTCAGAGCCCCGGTCGCACCCTTTAAAGAAGTAAGAGCTTGAGATAATAGTTTATGAGTTTAATCTGAATAATAAATAAATAAATAAATAAATAAATAATATATTTATAATTAGTTTCTTTTTAAGTATATACTTTTAAATATATATTTTCTTCTGTCTTCAAGCCCTATCCCCTTCTCATTCTCTTTCTTGGGGCTGTCTGTTAATAACAAATAAATATAAATGATATAAGCACAAGTTTATTATATTTTATTGTATTTACTTGCATTATATTTATATATATTTATTTATATTTTCTTATTTTGCTTCTCTTTAAACCCATAGAACAAAAACAAACAAACTGCTACACCCAATACCTACTATACATACAATATATATATATAATATATATTATATATATTATATACATTATATATATATTATATTATATATATTATATATATTATATATATTATTATATAGCTAATATGGTTGTTACTGCAAGCCCTGATACTTATTATCATATTCTTGAATACGGTATTAAGAAGACTCGTCTTCGTCTTGATAGACTTTTATTACAAGCCTTTATGGCTGGGGTGTATGTAGGCTTAGGGGGTCATTGTTGTACAACAATAGGTAAGGAGTTAAATATAATTATATTTAATTATATTTAAATAGAGTTTAAAATATTATTTGCTTTCATAATAATCTATTTATATGCTTAAAAAAAAACTTTACTTTTGTCGCTTTCTTCATATCTATTCAACTCTATTTCTTGTCCTTTTTACTACTTTTTAAGCTAATTACTTTCTTTTTAACTCAATATTGCTCAAATATATATTCTTTATTTTCTACACTCTACGCTAACATCTTTATTTGTTCCAAATAACTGTACAGCACTTTAAAAACAAACGCAAAAGAAGAGAACTGCATTAATGATGCCCCGACTTATTTAATATTTTTAGACAATGTTTAGACCATACACTCTAGATAGGTATTGCATATATATATATAGATATATATATGTATATATATATATATATATGTTTATCTATATATAGATATATAAGGATAGCTATATATATACATATATATATATTATATGTATATATATATATATATATGTATTAGATAGAGAGATGCATAGATAGGTAGATATATGGATATGTAGATAGATAGATAGACAGATAGATAAATAAATAAATAAATAAAGATAAGCCCTAAAGGGTAAGGGTTTGTGTAAACATACATACATACATACATACATACATACCTACATTCATATATATATATATATACATATATATATATATATATATTTCTATTGTTTTTGTGTTGTTTGCTGCAACAGCTGGCGGGTTCTCTGTACAGCACGATGACCCCGTAGCAGTGCCGAAGTCTCTTCAGAAGTTAATATACGGTTGTTTATTTCCTGTTGCATTTATAAGTATAATTTGGACGGGCGCAGAGTTATTTACGGGCAATACAATGACAATGTTGATGTGTATACTAGAAAAAAAGATTAAATTATATCAATTGTGCATTAACTGGATATGCAGCTTAATAGGAAACTGGTTAGGGGCTTTGTTTGTTGCCTATTTTCTATCATATTTAACAGGGGCTTTAAACGATAAAAATGTTCTATACTTTCTATTCAATACTGCTAAAGATAAAACTTCTTATACTTTCTACGGCTGCTTCTTTAGAGCTGTCGGATGTAATACATTTGTCTGCCTCGCTGTCTGGTTTGTTATTGCTACTGACGATGGAGCAGGAAAAATCCTAGCCTTATGGTCCCCAAACCCTAAACCCTAAACCCTAAACCCTAAACCCTAAACCCTAAACCCTAAACCCTAAACTCAAACCCTAAACCCTAAACCCTAAACCCTAAACCCTAAACCCTAAACCCTAAACCCTAAACCCTAGGTCGTAGGTTGCAGTTATACTCTGTATAGTTCGTTTCTTCATCATCAAAAGAGATACAGCGTTGATTAGCAGTTATTTTGTTTGTTCTATTTACTAGAGATATATACTTTATTTATTTATTTAGTTTATTTATTTAATAGTTTTAATTTATATTTGTATATCTTATTCAGGTTCCCTATATTAGCCTTCTGTGTCGGAGGCTATGAACATATTATCGCAAACTTCTATACACTGCAGGCGGCCCTTATTGCTGGGGCCCCCGTCTCTGTAGGCAAAGTAATAACAAAAAACTTTATTCCAACCCTCCTAGGCAACCTGGCAAGCCTAAACCCTAAACCCTAAACCCTAAACCCTAAACCCTAAACCCTAAACCCTAAACGGGAAGTTGTAGGGTTGGTGCTTGCTGTGGAGCGGTTTTGGGCGCACAAAGGTTTGTATGAGTTTGAGTGGAGGGAGGGTTTAGGGTTTAGGGTTTAGGGTGTTTAGAGGGTTTAGAGGGTTTAGAGGGTTTAGGGTTTGATTAATTAGGGTTATGTTTGGGGTGTATATGCAGGTCGGGGGCTGCTGTCTAATTGGTGCGGTGTACTGGTACAACTTCTACCCAACTGTCTCCGTCAGAGATGAGTCTGCTGTCTCTTCAAAGATGTTTTCATCGGCTGCTATTCAAGGCAGCGCCCCAGCAGAAGACGACCCCGAAAACCCTGAAGCCCGCTCCTTACAAGGTAACCCTCAACTAAGGGCCCTTCCTGTCTCCTTAGGGGCCCCCTACTGTCTCTTCAGGGGCCCCCTACTGTCTCCTTAGGGGCCCCATGCTGTCTACTTAGGGGCCCCATGCTGTCTCCTGGGGGGCCCCATGCTGTCTCCTTAGGGGCCCCCTACTGTCTCTTTAGGGGCCCCCTGCTGTCTCCTTAGGGGCCCCCTACTGTCTCTTCAGGGGCCCCCTACAGTCTCTTCAGGGGCCCCCTACTGCCTCTTCAGGGGCCCCCTCCTGTCTACTTAGGGGCCCCCTGCTGCCTCTTCAGGGGCCCCCTGCTGTCTCTTCAGGGCCCCCTCTCTGTTGCAGTACCCCACGCATTTTGCTTGGGGTCCCCCGCAGCAGTCTACCCGCCTAAGGCCCCTTGGGGGCCCCCTCAGGCTCCTTGGGGGCCCCCTAAGGCTCCTTGGA